CGCTCCTTCACCTCGCGCACGTCAGAGGTAAAAGTATCGAGTTTTACCCTTCACGTAGCTTCGTCTCGGGGGGGGGGGGGTTAGAGCGAGCGTATGTTTTCCACGCCCCTTCAACCTTCCTTCTGGGGAGAGGGGGATGGGGGGTGGGGGGGCGATTTATGTTTTCGCATCCACCTGAATAATGTGTAGTTGTGCCACTGCCTTGGGAAGTTCTGTGAAAATGAGTGGTATGTTGGACAGTGGATTTATGGCCTGTAGTGAATCTGCTGAAGTGGAGTAATAACTGTGACAAAATTGATGTTGATGTAGTTCTTGTGGGATGTGGAGGACTGCGTGTCAAACCTAAGTGTGCACTCAATATAGAAATGTAAGTATATGGCTGTAAAATTTTAGTTCCCACATTAATTGTACAGGGACAAAATGACGACCTGAGGGCAAATGTCATTAATCACATCCTTCATCAGTCTAAACTGTGTGATCCATATTGGAAAACTATTTCCACTCCCTGCTCAGTGTTGGACCCTGACACAGAGTTTTCTGGCCATGCTCTCTGGTTTGAACCCTTAGAAGGGATCGAATAATCCTGACAAACTTGATACTGTGAGGTGCAACTCAGCTGTTTGTCTTGACCCAGGCCATGAATACTTTCTATGGGGAAAATTGCCTAAAAATGCCACAGTTTCCCCAGATAGTACAGTGATGACAGAACCTACCACCTCACATTCCGTTCCCTTGGGTTCAAAAATCACAACTTGTCTTTGGGGTGAGAGATGGGTCCCACTGAAACTCATTAATACCTCTGACAAACCTGTGTTCTTGCATTGCAATGCAGAATTGACAGTTGTTTACTCCTGTTTAGTACTGAAGGACTTGGAAGGTGGCGACCATTCAGACGCTTCTTACGAGTTGTTGCCAGTCAACCTAGCAATGCTTCTCAGATGCTACTGCAAAAGCAAAGCTTGCTTCTGTTGGCTTAGTAATATTGATGTTCATTCGTGAGACATCTGAAATGGTAAAGTGAAAATGACTAGTCTTGTTTTGCAGTATGAGGACATCTTTTCATGCCATCGTATTGACTGCAGAGAAGCTAAGAACTTTGTACACTGTATACACCTCTCAGAAAGAGATCATTCACACTACCTTACAGGCTTGTTCCACCAAGGCAGTACCAAAAGTTAAAACAGGTTTTGAGTGAAATGGAGGAGAGAGAAATTATCTGGAAATCCACTAGTTAGTATGCTTTACCATTGGTGCTTGTGTGGAAAAAGAATGGAGGCTTCCGGATTTGCACAGATTTTCACTGGCTAAACAAGAGGACCGTGAAAGACGCTCACCTTCTCCCTCACCAAGCTGATTGTTTAGCGGCACTGAGGGGTAATTGCCTCTTTTACACTATGGATTTGACATCTGACTTCTATAACATGCCGCTTCTTGAGAATGATAGGAAGTACTCTCCGTATACCGCAGGCCCTCTGCAACATTCCTGCAAGTGTTTTGCGAATTATGACCAACATTTTTGAAGACCAAAATTATTTGAATTTGCTGTTTTTTGGATTATCTTTTGATGTTTGCACCTGATAAAAACCCAGTTTTGCTGAGACTGCAAATGGTGTGAAGACTGTTCAGAAGACTCAGTCTGGTGAGCATGTTAAAATTGTGACGCTTTTTATGGGTCAAATAGACTCAAAAATTGCAACAGCAGCTGCGTGGGGGGGGGGGGCCCAAACAAATTTTTGTCAGGGGGCCCACGATTCCTGGCTGCACCAGTTGCTACATGCAGTTGGAGGTGCGAGTTTGACCTTTTGTTGGGTGAGTGTTGGTTCTGTGTTCACCAGGTTGATTCCTCCTAACATTTGTCCTAGCTTGTTGTATTTTATTAGGTTTTTAAAATAGAAGAATAAAATTTATTTTTAATGTTGCAAATAAATAAAATATATTTTGTATACAACTTCTGTTTTGTCATTTGAAGCCAGACCTACCTGGATACTTTTAATATGGAGACCCTAAGTTATCTAACATAATTTGAGAAATCTACCAGTTGGCTATAAGGCCACGTCCTCGGTCACAATCTGGTTTCTTCCCCCGTGTTACACATGGTTGGTTTTAGACAAAACATTTTTTGAGAATGTGCACAGGGTGGCGGGTTTTGATATGGGCTTCATGGGCAGTTGTCCTTGCCGGTATCATAAAAGGGTTTGGCATCCAAGAACTCGAAATTAAAATAGATCTAATAAAATACATCTTATCAATCAGTTGGCTCCTGAACAAGTTTGGTACCACTTGTATGCATGCATAGTGGAGTAAATTTATCTTAGTTGCTATTGAGTATGGGAGTCTACAAATGCAAATGCATTTGCAATGCAAATGCATTGTTGGTGTGCAGCAAGAGGGGTTTGCACAGCTGTGTGCATATTTATATTTCAAGCTTACAAATTTAGGCATAGTGATTAATTGTGATTAATCAGCTCGTGCCAGATTCTGCTATGGGCGACCGCCCAGGGCGGCATCTTGTGAGTGGTAACAAGACCAACTCCTCACCTTTCTTACCGCCCCAGATATTCCAATTGTCTGTGTCTCACTGTAACTTCCATCCTTCTGTCCATAGACTAATGGATGAAAAACACAGTAAGATATTGCCATCTCACTGTATCTGCCATCCTTAGGGTCTACAGATGCAGGCACAGAAGGTACATTCTCTGTGTCTCTGTCTCCAAACATAGTATAAGGATAGAGACAGCGGAATGTATCTGTCTATGGAAATGTCTCTCTGTACCTGAGTATTAACTTAAAATTAACTCTAATATCACTGAACACTGTTATTTTTCAGGAAACTGCATCAAGTGCCCAAGCAGGTCCAGCAGCACCTTTTGCCACCTAGAGTATTTTTTCATAGGTGAGAACTATTTCAGTAATACCTTTACAAAACATATTTGGTAGTTCACAGGGATCTAATCTAAAAATGTGATATGTACTTAAAAAACCAAAAGGGTCATTTTAAATAGTCTCCCATCTGTTTCTAGGCGATTCATAGGCCTCAACCCAGAAAGCGTAACAAAAGCTGGATTTATGATAACAGGTTTTCTGCTCATTGGAATTGGCAGGTACCTGGCATATCGGAAATTTCGGAAGATGCTGGCTGCTGTTTTGGCAACTTCAAGGCTGAGGGTCCGGTTGATGGGATCTGCAGAGCGATCAACACTCAGACTGAGATGATACGGGACCTGAGCCGCAGACTGAGTGCAATCCTGGAACAGGACCGTGGCTGGGCAGCGGATCTCGGACTCAGAATGGATATGGTGTGACCTTGAAGAACATTGCTCGCACGGATCAGGCGGGAGACCCTAAATTTGACTGTTTGGATTTGCCATTGAGAAACACCAGCGAGACTTTCAAGGAAGGCAGAAAATTGATGTCAGCCTGACCTAAACAAATTATTGCTATTGGAATCCGGACCCCGGGCTGGCCTTGGCTAGCTGTCCTCCCCTGGTTGTTATATCTAAAGAAGACTCTGTTGCTGCTGTCAACCCAGTTGTCCTATGTCGTTGTAGCTCAATGTTGATACAATTCAGTGGGGGTGAGTGTAACAGAGTCAAAAATGCACTTTGTTAAATTACAACTTTACACCACTATTATTTATTTATCTATCTATCCATCTATTTATTTACTTAAAATAAATAGATATTTTAGTTCAAGTTTTCTGTTCTACTTGTGTATTTAACTTCCTCTCTCTCACATTGTCGGTAAGCTTTGTGAGGGTAAGTTACATTGTAAAAAGTTGCTAATATTTTGTTACGTCTTTTACAAATATTTCCTCTTTCGAAATAAACCAGATTGTAGATTGCTTAATAAATGTTCTTAAATGTTTCTATAATACTTTATTTTTTAATGGTCGTTTTCTTACAGCCGTAGAAGACAACTACCAGAAGACGTGATTTGTGTCTTTCTTTACTGTCTTCTACAAGTATGTGTAACATTTTAAATGTGTTGATGTTCAGACATAAACGTTCTAGCTGTTTGTTTTTGTGTATTTGTTTGTCCACTAGGTGGGTGGTACTATTGTACTAAAAAGGCCAGTAATATTATTTTCTGTTTTTTGTGGCGGGGACAAAATAATTTCTTTCTGCTTCTAAGATTTTATTTGGGGATAGAAATTTGTATATTTTCATTTATTTATGTATTTGTATATATGTTTTTATATGTGTGTATTTATTTATTTATTTACATATTTATTTGTTATATCAGACATAAGAAGATAACACTTCTTATTTCACATTGCTGTTAAGCTTTGTGAAGCCGTAGAAGACAACTACACAAAACCAGAAGACATCTGATTTGTGTCTTTCTTTACTGTCTTGTTCTCAATGAATGAAGGCATCATTTGAAAACCAGAATATCCAATGTTAACATTAGGTTAATGATCTAAAATTAACATACTGTTTGCCAAACATTCTTTAGTTGCCACTAATATTCAGAAAACATCTGCTGTGTGAAAGATACATTGTTAGATATCTTTGGGCTAATGGGTAACTTGTGACTTTTGACTCTCTCAATAAAAGCAAATTAATCATTGACTAGTTACACATAGTTGCATTTTACCAAGTTTGTCAGTTGAACAAAGCAAGTTTTTACTCAGACAGAAGCAGTGATACAACAAAAAAAGGATCCGCATCTACTGGAAACCTCAACATGGCAGCCAGTACAGCTACAGGTCTGAACATTTGTTTTTCCAATTGTATTATTATTATTATTATTATTACACAGCAATCCTAAACAATGAACCAGAACTCTTTAACTGCACTAGATTTGTATGAACATTTTCATGTGTAATACACACCGCAGTAATTGTTCAGGGAGGGTTACTCTGGTGAAAAATGTGTATACTATAGTATACAATAGTATATTTTAAATATACTGTATTTTTCTGAAGTACATTTTTAGTATGCTATCAAGTGGGTATAGTTATTAAGATTACACGAGAAGTGTAAAAATAAATACATTCTTAACAACATGCTTCTAATACGCTTTAAAAATTTATATTTGGTACAATTTCTAAAAGTATATTTTTTCTACAATATGCTTTAAATTCTACTGAAATATATTACTAAAATTATACTTTGGATAATAATTTTAAAAATACACTTTGCATGTATTTGTACAAATGTATATTTTAACTGTACATTTAAAAAATATATTGCAAATATATACAAACAATACTTTTCTGAAGTTCTACTTTTAGTAAAAGGTTTTGTGTATATTTTAGCAAACCTTAATAAATCTCAAAATAAATACATTTCAATAATATTTGTAAGTACTTTGTAAATAGTGTCTAATAATTAGACTCTAATTATATTTCAATTAAACACTTTCAGTGTTTACATACATGGTACTCTATGCTATGTAAAGCAGGGGCCACCAACACGGTGCTCATGGGCACCTGGTAGCCCGAGGGGACCTTGTCAGTCACCCGGGGAGAAGTTCCAGAAATAGCCCTTGTCTTAAGGGAGCACTGACAAATAAATATTCAATTAAATGTTTTTACCTTGAAATAACATTTGTTTATTTTTAGAATTTTTTTTCCCTTTTTTTTTTAAGTGAATTATAACAACGGTTTGAAATAAATTGCTTTATGTACCCTGGTGAAAATTAATATATTAAGCATGTTAAAATTTTAACATACTTGAGCATACTTTAAGTCAGACTAATCATGAGTATACTTCAAGTTCACTTAGGATTAGTTAACTTAAAGTGTGACATTTTGGAACAACTAATTTTGTGCTTAGTGTATTTTAATAGTATTTGAATTGTATTAAAGCACAATTTAAAGTATATTAAGTGTACTTCAACATACTTTTTTGGACAACTTAAGTTACATGACATATTCGCATACACCTGAGAAAGTATTTAGTTACGCCCCTGCACTGAGTGACTTGGCAACAGTTCACCTCACATAAGAAGCAACGTCCCTCTATAGATGCAGCAAAATGAAGCTGAAATCAAAGCAACATGGAGAAGAATTTGCCTTTGGGGTTGCCAAAGAATGTGTAACAGTTCTAACTACTTTAAAAGCTATACGCACAACCCAGGAGAATAAACAAGCTGTTTTCTTAAGCTTATTTTTATAATATATCAATATTTTAGTTATAACAAGGTATTACAAAGTGAAGTTATTTTTGTTTTTCTTTTAATATACAGCCTGGAATTCCACTGGAAATACCACAGATGCTCCCCCAAGCCACAGTCTCAGTGTGGATGCTGCAGACATTGCTGTTGTTGTCATTTACTTTATTATAGTCATGGTGACTGGAATATGGGTAAGATGAGCCACAGAACATTTACACACCTAAATTTAGTTTTTTTTTGTTTTGTTTTTCTGTGTGTCATTCTGGCATTGTAATGGTTTTAATGGTTTTGTTGTTGTGATAACTTTGAGACTTTAAAATCGTCTTCCAGTTCTCACATGAAAACTAATTATTTTGTCTTAAGAAACAAAAGCAATTGTGCTGACAAGTGTTCAGGTTTAATTCTGCTTAGTTCTTTAACATAAGGTTCAAACACATGTTTATGAGTTAGTATTCAGATACTAAAACAAATCCCAAATTTATTGAATGTACTGATGCACATAGTATGCCAGTACATTATTTCTATGTGCTTAACTGTGTATTCACTCCTGACACTTTTGTTCTAGTTTAAATGGATCAGAGTTAGTCTGGGCCTTTTGTGCAGATGTGAATACACTCAAACAAACCCTGGTACTGACCAACAACTGGACTGAAACCCACTTTTTGAGGTGATGTTGGTCCTCTTTCAAACAAATTCTCATCTGCACGCAGAGCTCACAGCGAAAAATCTGGATTGAGTGAGCTATTCTTAGCATTCAAAATGCACTTCCAAGCTTATTTTTTTCTGGGTCTGTGTTGTCTCACGCCCCCGTCATTTATAGGAGCACTGATTATGCATTGCTCCTATAAATAACGTGCATTAGAGTTAGGGTATTAATAAGGGCATTGGGGTAAAGCAAACCACAGTGGATAAAAAGACTCTTCTGGTGTGAAGACACCCTAAGTGAGGGATAAAATTTGGTATTGATATCATTTGGTATCAATATCAAATGCCAAATTATATTGATAGTGATTTTGGGTCTAAACTGAGCTGCTGTAATAATTCATGGCTTGTATAATGTTGGAGGGATCAACATTTCCACTGATCTTTCAAGGGAAAAACCAGCAGACATTTACATTCCTATCAGTCCAAGTGTTCTGTATAGCATGCTGGCCATGGAAAAGACTTTGAACCTTTGAAGACAAATATTCAAGGAAAGTATGAACTGCAAACAATAAGTCTCAATTTTTAACCATTAAAACGAGAGAAAAATCACAAAATTAATAATTCAAAGTAGGTTAAAAAGTTTCTATCTAAGGAAACCCAGCAGATTGCATCAAGTCATTGATTCGCAGCATTCACTCCTCCTGGACTAGCATGTAGTTCTTGTGTTGTATCATTGACTTTACAGCAATCCCTCATACCAAGCATGAAGGATTGCTGTAAAATCAACAATACAATGCAAACAAACTTGAGAAATCATTATAACAGTGTGTGACTTCTCTGCAGCTTGAGAAGGAACATAAATCCAAATATCAGTGGGGTGAGAAAATCTACAGTAAAATGTTATTCTTAAGTTAATTTAAAATACCTGAAGTTATGTGTCACAGGTTCGAGTCCCGGCCTGTTGACCTTTGCTGCATGTCTCAAAATACCAGTGCGTGTGCAACACTGGATTTATAATACATGTAAGAGTCTTTGTGTGTAACTTTAAGAAGTTGTATCTGTGAAACATGATTTGTAAACTGCACAGTAAAAATTGCTGGGTTATTTTCATAACCCAATTTCTGGGTTGAAGCTGATGGGCCATAGGTTGGGTTAGTTTGACCAAATATTGGGTCAAAATTCATAACTCAAAAGTTGGGTCAGAAATTTACCAGAAGTCTACAGCTTGGACACCTCTGTTGGATCAGGGATTGGGTAGATTTACCCATCGGTTGGGTTAAAGACGAAACTTCACAAGCCTCCATTTTCAACACGACTCTGAATGCTGCATATTGGACTTCTCCTTTACTTTGAAATAAGACATGGCAAGTATAAAGAAGATAAAGTTTCAACGTGAATAGGATTTTATAAATAAATAGAATTTATTTCGAACATGTCTGATATTTATTTTTATGGTTATTTAAAATGTTTATTACGGTAGGTTGCTCTGACAGAGCTTAGGTCTTGCTACCACACGGCTGTTGAAAAAATAAAAAGATGAAGGGGAAGGGCACAATTTGTCAACCTCAATCATATTTCTTCTTAACAGTCAAATTTTAAAAATCGATTTGGTTTTAAAAGAAAGGATAGTTGACGGTTTGTCCCCTGATTTTTGCGGGCTTAGTTCACAAGCAGGATGCAATATGCGCACGCATACTCACCCATCTCCTCTGGGTATATCACAAACAGCATTTTTTTGTGTGTAACTCCAGGTCCTTGTAAATATGTGGTCAAATGCATACACAAATATTAAGAAATTACAAATACAAGTACACACTGTTGTTGCGCAACACCCCCCTGCCCTTCCCTCTCTCTACTTCCCCTTGTCAGAGGAGGGAGATGTGCTACCAGCTCTCCATCTAACGGGTGAATTGAGTTTCCTAAATCTGCCGAGATTTACCCTGTCCAGAACTGAAGTAAACTCTGATTAAGCTGGGGTCGAGAAAGACCAGCCTGGTTTTTGACGACCTTCATCCAGATGTCCCACCGTCTTCCCCCTGTGAATTAGCCAGACTGAGCAGCCTGCAGCCAACTAGTTTCACAGAGCACACCTGTTAATGGTCGCTCTTTCTCTTTATTACAACTTGCACTTGTTACTGAACCAGGTTGGTTTTAGTGACTCGGGCGAGTCCCAAGGATGTTGTTTTAGTTTTGGCTAAAAGCAACCTATAAAACATTTTCCACTTTCCTCCCAGAATCAAACTTCATAGCTATTTTACAACCATCAAAGAACTTTAAGGTGACTCATTAACTGAATGTCCACAACATTTCTTAGATTTTCTTGATGCTAATTATTTTATTAGTAAGGCAGTTTTGCAAGGGTCAGTACAGCTTAAATCAATAGCAGAAATAATCAAACAAGTAAAATCAATAATCTAGCCTATCTTTCCCTAATGCTGACACTGTGAACTAAAAAAGGAAAACTTTGAGAGAGACGAACGGAGTTTGGCATTTTGAACCCCAGAACTGGCCTGATGATGGAAATGTTGCAGCAGCAGGAGGCTCCCAGTACAGGAAGAGTACTGAGTCAGAGCAGCAGATCTCAGGCCTCAGGGTGACTTCCTCATGCGCGTAGCGGTCCTCAGCTTCTTGTCTTGCAGCTCTGTAGCTCCTTTCTCTTCGTCTCACGATCTTTCTGGTCCTTGGAGATGTAGAAGAGCTGGTCTCATGGAAGGAACACACCAGTTCTTCCTCTTTGCCTTTGTTCTTTGCCTTTGTCTTTATCTTCATCTTTGCCTTGGTCTTTGTCTTTGGGGTCTCGAACCCA